TCCCACTCTCTCTCACTCTCTCTCGTGTTCGCGATCGAAAACAACAGATCGCCTAATGGAGAGAAAGAGAGAGAGAGAGAGCACTGACTCGCCGTACTCCACCTTCGCGGTCGCGTCGCCTGTCCGAAGGGTCGAAAAATTCGGAAATCGTGCTGTTGTCCCTCGGACGGTTCCGGCGAGCACGAGAGACGAAATCTGAGCGGAGGCACTCGTTCGGACCTCGTGTCGTATCGAACTGTGCGAGGTCAATGGCGTATTTATGTTTGTTTATTATGGTGGCGGTTCTTCCGGAAGCGGAGCTGGAGTCGCCTGGAGGAGCCGGCGCTCCTCCTCGTGCGACGGCGACGGCGACGACGACACGCGCGTACCTCCGCGATACCATCAAAAAAGGTGCGCGAAATCAAAACACAAACACAATGAAAGCCAGCAGCTATACTCACCGCTCCGCCTCGCGCGTTGTCCGTTGCACCCGTGCTCCTTCCACCGCGTGTCTTCACCGTCTCTCACCACGCTCGTGCCACCCCTCGGGGTAATCCACGGCTGCACGACGCGTTCGGGGGAGGAGGAGAAGGCCAGGACACTCCGGGGACGCGGCAGGTCCTCAGCGATCGTAGCCTGTCGTCGTACGGCGCGTCTCTCCCGCGAACACGAAACAACCGGTGGCGGCCACACGGCGCATCGCGCGCGCACGACGACGCTCGACTCGACGACGAGATGCACCCACGGTACCACGTACTGACAGCTATCGCGCGCCGTTCATTATCTCTCGGCGGGGAAGAGAGAAGAGAGAAGTCCACCTTCGTCTGCGCGCTCGCGCCGCTCGCGACTGCTCTTGCGCGACCGACGGGACTACCGACCGGCCGGCGACGGAACGGCGGCCGATACGCACACCGCACGCTGCCCCCCGCGTCGTCGCTACCCGAGAGTTCCCGACGACCTCGCGTCGTCGCGCGAACCGTTCGGCCAATCGAACGTCGCCGTCTCGCTTGTGTTGCGATTCTCCTCACTTGCATGCAACTCTGCCATAACGTTCCGGACGTGACGTAGGCGCGCTGACTGATGTCCCTGACTTGAAAATGAGGTTTCTCTTCTTCGCCGTCGAGAAATAAAAGAGTGACACGGAATAAATGCGAATGGCTATTGTTTTTATTGTTAATACAACTCACCTGTTGAGAGTTTATTATTTGTCGTCATCTCGAGGAAAGTACGTGCGCCACATTCAAACGAGAAGAGAATTCCATTCCTCTGAAATAGCTCCTGATAAAATAGAGAACACCTCTTGCCGTTATACATATAGAGAATAATTTCACGAATGATCCAATTACTTGTCGAAGAAAATTATTAGGCAATAATTAAAACTTTTTTTATCAAAAGGAATTTATGAACAATGGTACGAAAATAATATATATAAAAATATGAAAATCGTATTTATTATGATACCCTGGATCACCTTTTGTCCTAAAGTGCGCCTTCTAAAGATACTTAATTCTATCAATATAAAATCAAAGAATTCGAAAAAGATAAAGAGTAAATTAAATTGAGATTAGAGTTAATCTAGATTAAACTTTCTATCTCGCTTTCATCAAACTTCAAATGCGTATTATCTATTTCATTTTAAGTATAACAGGTATACATTTATAATTTAGCTACAGAGAACATCAGATAATATTGTTAATCTCTATAATAATTGAATTATGAATTAATTGCTCACGAAAATCACGAAATGAGATACAATTAGCATCTCTTTTCATCTCAAATATTCAATAAAATAAAGAAATTATATGAAAGTTATTTATAAATGATTATGTACAATCGTAAAAATATATACAGATACAAATGATAATAATATAAATTGTAATATTTTCTCAATAATAAATGTATGTTTAATATTACGAATTTATTTGAGGCATACGATTGCTAATTCAATTCTATAAAGATCTTTGTAAATCTGTTTAATTTCGCTTTATAATTGCAGTATAATACGTTTTACGTTTTCAAACAGAACTAAATAATGAAAAAGGAAACGATCCGAGTTAAGCAAAAAATGTACGTACGTGCGACTGAAATAAACAGATCGATAACAGGATTTCACGGATCTTTTTTCGCGTTTAATGTTTAATAATCGTCGGAATGGAAGAGGCCGCGTGTGTGTGTGTGTGTGACTCGGGGCAAAGCGAGAGCGAAGATCGACGAACGAGGTGTAGAAGGTAGAACCGTCTGGCCGTCTGGTAGAACGGAGCGTTTTCACGCGAATCACGTCAAATCCGGTGGGCAAGGCAAAGGCAATAGGCAAGGGCAAAGGCGCGCGCGGCAAGTCTGCTTCTCTCTCGCCCACACGGACAGCGCAGCAGCGACAGCGTGATCTAGAGAGCGACTATTCCGTGGGGAAACGGGCGATCTCTCGCTCGGCGCGGAGCGCGGAGGTTGGCTGAATTTCTCTCGCGCGGAGCGGAGTGTATTTTCGTTATCGGGCGGACAGCGCGCACGCACGCACACGCTCAACCCCTGGGTCGCAGGAGCGCGCCGGATTACCGCCGACCGTCCGACGACGTGTGATGAGAAGCACGCGCCGCAGTTAAATAAGCCGCGCCAAGCTCCACCACGTGAGTGACTCGCCCGCGTACGGTGCGCGTTCGCCCGCTGTACTTCCAGGGGGACAAAAAATACGGCGCCTCGCCAGAAATACGAGATCATGGCGGTGCCCAACAGCGGTGTAGGTGAGTTATTTTGTTTGCGTGGCTCCTGACGCGCGCGGAATCCTTCAGGCGGGGGTGGAGGGGGGGTGGATCCTCCTACGCGGTTTCTCTTCCTCCTTTTCTTAATCGGGAAGCCCGCCGCGGCGGGACGACGCGGCGATCGTGTCCCGGACCCGGCACTCTCCCGTGCCACGCGAGTTGACAGCGGATGTCGGGCGATAGCCCGCCCGTATTTCTCGCGTAACCGAGTCACCGAGACGTTTGAAACACACGGACGGTGACCCTCCGTCGCGAGTCGGTATCGCCCTCCCCGCGTTATCGCGGACTCGCCCCGGCGATCCCGCGAACAACTCGAGGACTCGGCGGCGGCGGAAAGGTTAACCATGCTCAATCCCCTGCTCCTCGAGCCATAACCTGTATCGGCGCGAACGTCGTGCGGATACGTTTCAGCTGTTACACACGCGTGACTTAATTATGTGCTGCAACAAATTTTGTTTTCTTTATATTTATTTTTGACCTTTAAGATCGTCGAGGATCTATTTGATATTTATTATTTTTATTTGTCTTATCTGAATCACGATGTTACAGGATTGCATATGTATATTACATAGTTTGAAGATTTTTCAGCAACTCCTTTAGTTTTTTATCAATTTTTTAATCGAGTTTTTTATATATATACGGGAGGGGGATCGGGATGGCACCTGGAACTTGTCAATTACGAGTCTATCGTTTCTAACACAAGCATCATGTCACCCTTCAAATTCTGTTTCAGTCATGCCCCGAAACTTTCGCCTCCTGGAGGAGCTAGAACAAGGCCAGAAAGGTGTAGGTGATGGCACAATTAGTTGGGGCTTGGAGAACGACGATGACATGACCCTCACGCATTGGACTGGTATGATAATTGGACCACCTAGGGTAAGATACCTTCTACTGGTGTCGTTCGTCGTCGTCGCGATAACACGAATCTGTACCGAATTTTTACGTTACTTATTCACAACACAAGTCCGCTTTCACGAAAATTTCAGATACAAGCTAAGCTACGTACGTTGCGACGCTTGCGTTAAATATATATACACATTTTTCTGAAACTCTTCTCAGTATCGGTTGGATGAGGTATTTTCGTGACGCTTAAATAAAAAATGAATAATTATATAATTTGTTGCAGAAAATATAGTTTAAATTCTAATATTCATTATACGTATTATGTTGAAAAATATTCGCTATATATTGGAGCAAAAAATATTGCTAAAAGAATTAATTGCATTAAAATGTGATATTGCGAAAACATTAAAGAAATATATACAGAATATTTAAGCTGCGTTCGATTTGGCGTTTACGGCGCTTATAAGCATCATTTATTCTTGATTAACATTTAATAAACAACAAGGATGAAATGATGTGAGCGCTGTAAGCGTCAAAGCGAACGCAGCCTTTCGGACGATATACAATTAATATAATGTACCATATCTTTTAGACACCGTATGAAAATAGGATGTATAGTTTGAAAATTGACTGCGGTCAGAGATATCCAGATGATGCCCCTAATGTAAGATTTTTAAGCAGAATCAATATGAATTGCATTAACAGTGCTACTGGAGCTGTAAGTATACAAGATTGCAGTGTGTATTTATACATTTACGATAACACATTTACTCACAAGATAACACGTGAAATTTCTATACTAAGGTGGATAATCGCAGTGTCCCAGTCCTTGCGAAATGGCAACGAGAGTACACAATTAAAACAGTTCTTCAGGAGCTCCGTCGTTTGATGACGTTGAAGGAAAATATGAAACTTTCTCAGCCTCCGGAGGGCAGCACTTTTTAGCCTAACCGTATGAACAGAGATATCTTCCTTTTTGCAATAGCATGAGGCGAGATTTAATAAAGGTACCAAATAATATTAAAGACGGTGCCCGCTGAAAAAATATATGTTTAAAAAGAAACAAAAAAAACACGAAAAAACAGCTTTGTGAGAGGAAGGAGGGTAATAGCTTGGAAAGTTGAATGAGTGTACCGAGTCTATGTATAGATTAGATAGAAAAAATTGACAAAAACGCATTTGTCAAGCACAGCTGATTCTTCATCGGGATTTTTCACTAAAAAAAAAAAAAGTAGTATTCCTCCGATTATTTCATTGCATATACTACATCATGTTCGCGCACGAGATAGATGATTCAATTGCGAATGCGAATTTAAGTTTAAGGAAAACTTCGCTCCAGCTTTTCAAGCTAGTTACAATGTAAAGCGGAAAAAAATCCAATATTTTGAATCTTAAAAAAAAAACTGGAGACACAGACTATATAATAAAAAGAAAAAGAATAATCAGTAAGAGTAACTTATGCCTTTGAAGTTTTTTAATGAGAGGAGTAACGCCCCGGTATTGCGAAAACCGTTTTAAGATTTCTCTTCCGTTTGCGCGCAAGTGCCATTTCCATCTCTCGCAGAGGTGTGTCTCTCTCGCTCGATGCCCGCCCGCAGTTAGAAAAAAAATTCGTGAATTCTGGACCACAAAATATCTGTACGTCCATCTTACGTTCTACGTGCTGCGTACCGTTTTTTCGACTAGCGATCTACAATGAAATAACGTACGTGTTTGCGAAAATTATAATCCTTAAAAAAAAACAACGGCCTCTCTCTCTTTCACGCTAAACGAATTGCGTTTCGTAACTGATGAGGAGACGTCGCTTTGTAACCGAAGCATGCATAAGTGACAAATTGATTTGTAATGTCTCGTATATATAGCGAACGATTATACAATGCTGCATGACAAAGTACATCAATGTATGAAGCATCATGTGAGTGGTGAGATCTTGTAGTCGCGATATTATATTTGGACATATTGAAAATATACCAATTACCCACACACGTGTATTTGATTATGTCTATTAAGATACAACAGGATTATATAGAGTATGCAGATAGATAGTGGCTTACTGTTTTTGAATCCAGAAGCTTCATGATTGATGTATTATGTGAATATTATTTTTGTTATAATTATCGAAATCATATCCAATCTCTCTTAACACACTGAGTAAAGTGGAGCTGCGTATTGTGACAAAAATCAGGTTTATCTCAGTCTTTAGAGTGCAATCGCAACTACAAATTACGTGAACTATACTACCGCTGAAAGAAGCTATATGCAGCTTATTAATATGATTAGTGATAAATTATATGTTCCAGTAAGAGGATAATTATGTTATCACACTCTCGTCTCGAGATTTATATTATTCAATTAATCGAAATGTCTTTATATACCTAAAAGTTCCACCAAAGTAGATTTTGAAATATCTCCACGTTTGATTGTGTAATGTAAAAATTTTTCGATTACCCGAATGAAAAAATATACATACCTCTTTGTCCGCTTTGCATTTCAGTATTACACTATCGGTAAATATAATAGTGTAATTTAAATCATCCTATTAAAAGAAGTAACAAGTTATAGCTCCATGTGGACGAAAAACAAGCTTAAGGAGAATAAAGTGATTTCCTTAGAAGTGAGCGTTTCCTCTGTTTCTTACCCACACGTGTTAGTGGTCTTTTTTTTAACTTGAATAAATCGTTGCTTTGATTGAATCAAATGATTTCGTTATTCAGACTTTTGCAAACATTTCTCCTCGTGTATTGATCTTCGAAAATGAGTCGGACGAAAACTTTTAATTGAAATAATTTGTGAAAAATATTAGAAAACCGCATGATGAAAACTTACCAAAGATAAATAGGAGAGTGATACATTCTTTCGAGCTTGTAGACTGAAGTGTCCATCATGAATACTCGACAAATTTTGCGAGTTGTTTGAAATTGTGACTTAAATCATGCGTCTCGCCAAGGGAGTGGACGTTGTTTATGTTTAACAATTTATTTAAATCAGACGATGACTCCATTTGGTATACTATGTACAATGTTTTAATTTAATAGATTTTTGGTAATGATGACAATTGACGGTTCATCAAATGTTGTATATGAATAAGTTTGAATCTTCAGAAAGGAGCCAACAACTTGCCGGATATATTTGCTTAAATTGCGAAACTACGTTCTGATACCAGCGCAAAAGCTAACGTCGCGGCGTTAATTTCCATTGGCTAACGATACTTCTTCGGGACAAACATTATCTTTGTACTCTTTACAGTTGTCCACTTGTGTCGCTTGAAGTAGTACGCGGCAGCAGTGAGAATTGCGAATATTCCAATAGCCTGTAAATAATTGACATTAAAATGATTGAGATAAAACGAATTAGTGTAAAGTAAAATTCACAGCGATGTTCAATTCACCTTAATAGTCATTTGTTTCCTTTCATCGAACTCGTGATTGGCAGTCCACATTAGGAATGTGGTAATATCTTTTGTTACTTGAGAAGCAGTTGCTGGAGTACCATCTTCATATTCTAAGACTTCGTCATAAATAGCCTAGTGCGAAGGAGTTCAATCGATTTATTAATGGGACAAGTTCAATATAGCTGATTGTGTCATCTTCAATTAAAAAAATATATATAAATAACTCACCTGTGCCATACTAATGGCACCACCCGGAAAATATGGATTGAAATATTGTCCTTCTCTTAAAGTTACACCGGCTGGTGCATCACAATATCCAGTCAGTAAGGAGAAAACGTAGTTCTGAAATATGTTCAAAATAGATTTTTAATTAAAAATGCAAATTTTGGCACTAGTACGTTTTACTAAGAATTTCAGTGGAAATCGTTTATAAATTTTTGACAATTTTAAACAATTTAATTTTGAATTTCACTCTCTAAGTTACTCAAAATTGACTTTACCTCTCCGTCGTGCCTGGCATTGATTATATAAGACAGATCAGGTGGATAAGCACCATTGTTCGATGCTCTGGCAGCTTCTTCATTCGGATATGGAGATGGCACATAGTCAAACAGTTTACCTGGACGTTTGAAGTATGCTCCTGTCTCGTCAGGGCCATCTTCTATCTGTATCACAAAAGTTAGTTGTACTAAATCTTATATTCTACAAAAAGTCTAAAAAACATAGATGTTTCTCATAGGTAATATCATAAGATGTACCATGACTTCTTCCGCGATAGCTTTGGCTTCCGCTTCGGTGTGAGTTACATTAACGAGGTGACGGTATGCCACGTATTGCAAGCTGTGACAAGCCGCACACACATTCTTGTAAACCTCCCATCCTCGTCGCATGCTGCAAAATATAGATTAATTATTTAATAACAATAGTAACCATAATTCACTGTTAATATTTAAATTTAAAAAAAATTAAGGAATTGTACCTAGCATGATCTAGTGAATTGAACCATCCGTAGAAGTCCCATTTGTACGTCGGAGGATGAGCTATCAAATCACTAGCTCTTACAGAGCTATCTAAAGCATAGATGAAGGCACTGATGCCTCCAGCAGTCACTCCTAAGCATGTTAATAACTGTAATTAAAAATGAATGATACATTATTACTTTCTTACACTGTAGTTTATATAATGTTGCTGTCACGTATTACATAACATTGTCATGTATTAAAAATAAAACAGTAATCTGTCCTAACTTACTAACACATGCAGTTTGACGAAACACAAAGTTGTATCTGATAGATGAAGGATTGGATAAGGTTGGGATATCTCTTCGAAGAAGATAAATTAAATTCACATACCACTTTCCGACTCCTAGGCCATTCTTTCACAGTGGAAAAATTACTGGTCTGCAAAAACGAAAATTTAAAGTTAAGAGTATATAAAGTTTAACATATTCTACAAGAAAATATGGAAGAAAAATATTCGCAACATTATTCTACACGTTTGCCTCTTTCTATTTCCTTCCTTCACATACATATAGTTAATTTGATTCTGCTTCAATTATCTCAAATTTAAATATATATACATCTCTCTCGTCAATTATCTCTAAAAAAATACATCTCCTTTATTTATATATTATCTAAAATAATTATTACAAAATATTCATGACATATATCTTTTGTGTATCAGACACAAATCGATCAATGTCTATTTCAAATCTTAAAAGATTAATATGTTGCTGATAAATAAATTTGGGAGCTCTCCATATGTTCAATTCTTTCAAATATTACTGTGACATAATCAAGTTAAAGAGAATATACTTAATAAGCAGTAAGTAACGTAAGTGTAACACTCAACTCCGCGCAATCAACTCAAAACAATTGACACCAAGTGACAGCATAATTGTTTCTACAATTAGACGATAAAATTCGCGGATGCAAAGTAATTCGTTGCGCGACGACGTCGTCGCGACACAACGCACACATTCCACCTGTGTGCCGCTGGCCGCGGGGGCATCGGTAACGCACGTTTGATATGGCATGGCAGGCATCCCGGATTTCACGGTATATCGTCCCGCTATTACATAACGTCTGTTAAAAGTGCCGTCGAAACCGTGGCCGCGTTGACGTCGCGCGCCGTCGGACCCTCGGCCGGCGTCGCGACGTCGCGCGGACGCGCCCGCCGGGCGCGATATCGCCCCGTGGAAGGCGTGACACCTAGCAGCCGACAGCCCGCACGGGGCACCCTCGCGGGCCGCGCGAGGCCCCGCGGGTCAATATTGGTTAGCCCGTCAAAGTCATCAAGCTGACACGGACGCCGCGGCGCCGCCGGGGATTTTCGCCGGGGGAGACGCGCGCGTTCGTTCCGCGGCGGTCCGCGGCCTCGCCGCGCTCACTTACCTGGCCGATCAACGTGCCGTAATTCGGTTTCAGAAGACCCGATTTACAAATTCGACCTAACGTCGCCGCCATGTTGGCCAGAGGTGCAATGTGCGGAGGGTTATGCTAGTCAGTGTACAGTCCGCTGGACGGTCGACGGCGAGGTCGGCCTCGTGACTATCGCAAAAATCCTCGCGCGATTATTCCGGCACCGCGGATCGGTCGCGAGGACCTGAGAGAGAGAAAGAGGTTAAAACGTCGGTGGGGAGAAAACACTCGTGAGGACGACTTCGGTCGGAGTCGCGCAGGCTCGCCAACGTCGCGGGCACGAATACGCCCGGCCTGAAAGCCCTGCCCGAATCGGTGCGCCCGGCACATACGAATGTGCGACGCCGAATTTTTGTGTTTATACGTTCATTATACGTATGCCAATTTTTATTATTTATTATCATTATGTATATTTATGATATATACACGATATTAAATATTCATTATATAAATATATTATTATACTTGAATAAAATGAAGTACAGCTCCTCGAAACAATTTACTTTACACGCCTTCGCTCGACATCTTCAATTCTCCAATCAATCTCTTATCCAAATCGAAATATGATACATACGTATTTCGTAGAAATATATTACGTGTGGTAAATGTTTACTTTAATCCGCTCCACTTGGATTTCGATAATATAATATATGTACATTCAATCGTTATACATATTAAAGATGGAAAATGGATAATAATAATTCTATAAAGATTAATTATTGCTGGCTGATCCAGGATTGGCCGTTTTTATGTGGACACTCGTGCGACGCGTCGGAAATATTTTCGCCATTTGAGGATAGCCCCCGCGGGTGCCCGGCGGCGGCGACAGCGGCGCGGCGGGGCGCAGCGGCGCGCGCGCGGGGACACGGGCGGCGCATGCGCCGCGCGTCGTTGGCACTCTTGGCAGCGTAGTCCGCCGTCGACCATTGCTGTCAGCTGGACGGTCCCGTCAGATGGTGTCGTGAATCCTGTAAAATCACATCGATCGGTGCGCGACGGAGCCAGAGTCAAGATGAGCGGTGGTATGCCAGAGCTGGGCTCGAAGATCAGCTTGATCTCGAAGGCGGATATTCGCTATGAGGGCCGTCTGTTCACCGTCGATCCACAGGAGTGCACAATCGCCCTGGCTAACGGTGAGTAGCGCACGGCGAAAAAAATCCAAGATGGACTCCCGCCGCACCGCATCCACCGTGCTGTCCCGCCGCCGCCGTCGCCGTCGCCACCGCTACCGTCCCCGCCGAGATTCCGCCGTGTTCTCGAAACTTACAAGGCGCGTCTCGCACGTTTCCCGGTCCGCGAAAACGCCCGCCCCGGCCGATCGGTCGAAGTGCCCCGCGACCGGCGGCAACGTACTCGCCGGGTCTCCCTCTCGGTCGTCCGTGTCACTCGGATGCGAGAACGGACCTTACGTGATTCGTCACGTAAGGTTTGGTTGTCGCGAGTAACGCAGAGGTCATCCCCCCGTGACTCCGCGAAAAGTCGCGGGACCCTGAAATGCGGCGATTCGGACTGCTCCGACCGGGCGGACTCCTCTCTCTTTCTCTCTCTCTCTCTCTCTTTCTATCTCTCTCTCTCTCGCCGGCTTCTTCGCGCCGATCGCGTCGCGCCGGAGAGCCGTCGGAGAAAGTTGCCGATACCCGCGGATTCGGCGGCGGCCTCAAAACAACCGGGGTCGCGGCGACCTCGGTGATCCGTCCCTTCACGACGAATCTTTCTCAAAGAGCCTCGGCCGCGGTGTCGAATCCCGCGATGATTCCGCTTAAAACGGGACATCGATGCGTCGCGCGATTTTTATTCGCACATTCGGCGAAAACGCCGAGCGCGAGAACTGTTACTCGAACCGCCTTGTTCTGCGTGCGATTTTGTCGCGGTCGGGCGGTTAGCGATCACCGTCGGACGAAAAAATCCGTCTCAAATCCTTGAGATTTTCATGATTAGTACTAGGTTATCGAGAATAGTAGATTAATTTAGAAAAAAAAAATTGGTTTAATTCTAAAAATGTAATACATCGACTTTTTCGCGAACACAATTCGCTGTATAATACACACAACTTGTGGGTACTCTAAGAATTTAAGCGACTACGTACGTTATTATTCTGTGAAGATGTAATTTTGAATTTAGGTTTGGTATGTGCAATGTTTGTGTGGAATGTTTGCCTCTCTTTCTTCTATAGAATGTTTACATGTCCTTGCTTCCCTTGTTTCGTTGATTCTGCCAAATAGATAACTTTGACTTTGGCGAATATTTCAGATGTAAGGGGCAAATATTATTCTTGGAAATACACTTACTATTGGAGCTCATATAAAAGAAATGTACAAATAAAATTCCTCTTTCCAGGATTGATAATGTGCTTTAACAAATATATATATATATATATATATATATATATATATATATATATATTGCACAAAGATATTTTGTATAACAAATTAATGCGATATAAATATGAATAAATATGATAATTAAAAAGAATTTGAATATTAGATATTTATTTTTATATATTTTATTACAAATATTCTTTAAGTAGAATACCTATTTTATTTATATTTTATTTGTGAAATAGATATATAACTTAGATTCAAGCATTATCGACACTGATAAATGCCAACTATTTAATATTAGTGTAACAAACATTGTTACAGTATCCCTCCAATTGCGAAACAGCTTGAAATAACTAAATTATTTGTTACTTTTTGTAGTGCGCTCCTTTGGCACGGAAGATCGAGAAACTCAACTTCCTGTGGCACCACAAAACCAGGTGTACGAATATATCCTGTTTCGCGGGTCGGACATCAAAGACATCAGAGTCGTCAACAATGTTAGTTCTATTCCCAACGATCCAGCTATCGTGCAGGTAATTATTCTATAGATTCATTTCCCATTCTCAGTTCACACGGGCTTTTAAATTCGGCAGGACGTGAATGGCAACGTAACATAAGCATAAAAGTGAAATCAATTCAATCAATTAGTGTTAAATATTGATGGGATTGTAGAGACTTTAATTATCATTGCTCCGGTAGATGACAGTGCAGCCATCTATGGGCCAGCAATCGTATCAACCGCAGCCCAGCTATGCTCATCCGATGATGGGCCAGATGGGCCCGATGGGTGGCCAATACGGTGCCCCCTATGGCATGGGCATGGGAGCCATGGGCCCGGTAATGGGAATGCCAACCGCAGCTAGAGATCCACGCGGAGCAATGAATAAACAGCCAAGTGAGTTGAGCTTGGGCTCCGCTGAACCCAATGCCATCTCTATCCCAAACTCACTGCCAACGGCCAGTATCGACCCATTACCAAAAGATCAATCTCTGGAAGATGGTAACTGTTTTTGCTATGAAGTACCCATCGCCTTGCTGGCATGCTTCTTTGCAATGCTGCTCCTGTTTTGGTAATGCTTTCCTTTGTCGGGCTTCACGCGATGTCCAAACAAAAAAAAAAGACTGGCATAAATTGTATGCATACGAGAATACATGAGATGTATTCTAATATTCTCTTGAATACATTTATTTTGAATTAACATAATTTGCAACAAATTTGGCATTCTTCTATTAACAAAAATCTACTGTCTCTCTTTCGTGCACTCTTACGTAGATACTATCTTGCAATCTTCATGCCTTGCTTATGTGCTTTCTATGTATATTTCTATATGCATTTTATGATATATAATTTTAATTTAATAAATATTATGCACTTGTATGTATAATAAAATTTTTATATATTTTTTTTGAATATTTGAAATTTTTTTGTAAGTTTTGAAAATTTTTTTTAATAAAAATAAAAATTTAAAATTTCTAATCTGTATAATCTCTATATATGTGAATTGATTTTATGTTTAATTTTTTTTTTTTTTTTTTTATTGATAGATAATATTTTTCTGCATGCATCTTCCAATTTTATTCCGTTTTCGCTTACATCGTAACGTAACAGAATAGCAATTACAGTGATGATAAACAATACAATAATTGTTTAAAAATCCTCTAGAGATTTATTTTACATTAGACACGCGAAACTTTTGTAGAAGTTAGTAGCAGTCTTTCATTTCAAAAGTTGGGAATGAAAAGTATGTCTTTATTTTCTTATACTAAAGTTTCGTGTTGGATTAGAAATGCTTTAATCGGCTATTGTCTCCGTAAGTTAATAAATATGTACACTATATGGCATTTATGTTGCGACAATAGGTGTACTAGATCTCATCAGTGGTGGTTCCCGTTCTACCACTCCTACATCGTCTTTATTAACAAGGAAAAGTCCTACTATGGATCAAGGTATTCAGGTAGGACACGAACAACAGCAGCAGGGCAATAACATTGGCAAATTGAATGACAAGACAAATATCAGGACCGTCCAACCGCCTCGTCGAGATCATGATAGGTATTTTACTTAGGAAACTAATTTTCCTCTTACTTTTATAATAAAACCATAAGAAATTTTATGCACACGATGATAGTTTTATTGGGTTGGTGCAAATGAAATGACCGTTTTCGAATTAATTTAAAATATGAAAAAGGGACATTTCATTTGCATCAACTTAATATTTTTCCAGAATTCTGATATTAATCCATACAGTTATACATTTTTATTTGCTAGATTTTCTAATTGTACAAAGATAAATCAATTCCACATAGGTTTATATCATTATTAGTTTGATAAGCAAATGATATATCTTCATGAAACATCGTATAACAGATGCTTCATTGTATGTTTAGTCACGGAGGTACCAAAAACAACGCGGGTATGTCTCACAATCAGTATAATGACGCGAAGAGGGACATGATGAAGCACCATGATGGCCAGAACCAAGGTCATATGCAAGGCGGTCGAGGCAATCGCGGTGGTTGGGTAAATCGTGGCAACATGAGAGGTCGAGGAGGCAGAGGACGCGGTGGTTTCCGTACAAATCAAACGAACAACGCTGGCACCAAGCCTAAGACTTCACTGAAGTTTGATAATGACTACGATTTCGAGCAAGCTAACACTGAGTTCGAGGAATTGAGGTGAGCACGAAGGGTTCACGATGTAAATATCGATGATCGATTCTGCATGGTTACGTGCCGGATTCATTTCAAGCAATTGTTGAAATGGCCAATGTGGATACCATGCGAAAGTAAAATCAGTGCGAATTTAAAGCGATCGTAATGACAACAAATACGCATTGCTTACGCATCGCATTAACATTGTCGTGTCGTAAAGTTAATGTTGCTTTCGTCGATATTCATATATTAATGTGACATTTATGTCATATCGTAGGTCACAATTGGCGAAAACGAAGATCGACGGTGCTGAAAATGAGAAGAAGGACGATAGTGGAAACGAGACAGGCGCTGGTGAAGGTGAACCTGAGGAGGATGGTCACCCGGAAATAAGCCTTGGCTATGATAAGTCGAAATCATTCTTTGATAATATTAGCTGTGAAGCTGTTGAAAGAAGTAAAGGGTAAGCTTTATTCAGAGAATATTTAGTAGGTATAAAATTATCGTGTAATTGAATTTCAGCACAACTGATTTAATTTACTTTTTTTTTCGAAATTGAAGAAAATTAAAATATAAAAATTTAAAAAAAGAGTATTTAAATCTTCGCCGGATTTTATTAATTTAGATACATTTTTCTCAACTTCACGATGTAAATTAATTCTGAAAAGTTTTTCGCAAGACAAATCGATTATTGCTTCAGATTTTTTAATCGCTGTCCCAGTCAATATAATTTTACAATTTGCATTATGAAATATTATATACGTGCGTGTGTGTGGCACAAATTTTTCCAGGCGATTCCAACGCACGGATTGGAGAACGGAACGAAAGCTGAATTCAGAAACGTTCGGTGTAGCATCCACGAGACGCGGTGGATTCCGCGGCCGTGGTTACTACAATCGCGGAATGGGAGGCATGTACAGAGGCGGCGGCGGCGGTGGCGGCAATAACATTGGATTCCGCGGCGGCTATCGGGGTAGCAGGGGTGGTAATCGCAAACCCCCCAACCAACTACAGAATAACACGGGGAGTCAAAATCGCGCGACCAACGAACAGTCTGCCTCTCAGTCGCAGGCAAGCGTTATCTAAAATATTAAAAAAAAAAAAAAAAAAGAATGTAATTTGTCACCGGTATTGGCGTGAAAGAGTAAAAATATGCCGGGAAGAATGAGCGATGCGCTGCTACGTATAAGTATACACAACTATAGATTAAGATTTTTACGATATGTGCTCTACCGTTACGGACTGATTTGGGTTAGAATTTGGGCAGTCGAATTAACAGAAGATACACACCGGCCGGATTAAATGTAGATTATTATTATATAACGGAGCGGTAATGCAATCGCCAAACCGGTGGTTACGTGTTAGGTGACAAGAATCGCACACACAATGGACGTTGCTGGCGCATATGACTTTTTGCATCGATATTTTGCGGCTGGATGATCGAAGAAGGTACTTTTAGAGACAAATTTTCTTACCGCTTAGTCGACAATGATCACGATGAATTGGCGTTGAAAAGAGAATAGAACGTTTTTCGTCAGGGAAGCGAAGTCAATTACACGATTAGAACGTTCCTTGTTCTTTTTTTTTTTATATTGATACTTATTTGTGTGGATTCAGATGTGAAGTTAGAGAGGGGGAAATTACTCGTGAAGGGACTAGTCGTAAGTGTTTTACTTAAAGTATATGTCTGTTAATAAAATTCTTAATGGGATAATCTGAAACCGCTTTAAACAAAGCCGCGATGGCGTATCTGTTTGTAGTTAGGGAAAAAGAAATTTGTACAATTCGATCGTGATCATTTTTCAGTCCGGTTTTCTCAAGACTTGACTATAAATAATTATGGAATGGCTTTATGGTGATGGTGACTTGATAATACTGGTCGTTATGGAATAGCTGGATTGTATCCGTATATCGGAAGTGAATGGCAACAGACGTGCATAAAAGTACTTTCTCGTCAAAGTATGTAAAAATCGATTGTATCTAATTGCATTTTTCAAGAATAGGAATATTGTGAGGTATATAGTACAAGGTAAATCTGATAAAAAAATTGATATTTTTTTCTTTTGTTTTGGTTTTTTTGAGTGTACGCAGACAAAGTTTTTCGAGTCCTTGGGCACCGAAGTTCATATAACGTATGATTTTATTAGGGCGGATTAATATAAGTGGGAAATAAGCGAAAGCGCCAGTTTATATAAAAAATTTTTGTATTATTAAATTTATAATCTTACGATCCGCCTACTCTTTCTTTGCAAGATCTGCATCTAGAATTATGAAAGATATAAGCGTCAAGTCTTATTGTAAGTAACTAAGTTCTAAATCATGTTACATAATTGTCATCGTGTTCTGCAATTAAGGATTCCTCGATTGCTTTCATATATGTGTACAGAGTAGTCCTGATTATTACAATTATAAGCCTACATTATAATCAGTAATTATATCGAACGTACAATTTATATAATGCTCATTAAAATTATTTTTTTTTCAAAAACATTGTAATTATATCTTAAAATATCTTGTCAATTTATTTATTGTTTCTCTTTTGTTAACTCTAAAACTAGTATAATGCACATTTCCAAGGGAAAATTCGTATTTAATATACATGTGTGTATACAAGCGAAAAAAGTATTAATAATAATTTATCATTAAACGACAAAATTTTCCATTAGTTATGTAAACTAGTGAAGAAAAATACGGATCAGTTCTTTCATTTGAGTATACATGTGAAATAGTTATTTTATATAACTATTGTAATAGTATTATTTTATATAACTATTATACATGTACCTATATATTTAAATGAAAGTAACTGATTCATATTTTTTTTCATTATTTTACATTAATATTCTAATGGAAAATTTTGTCGTTTAATGATAAATTATTATCAATACTTTTTTCGCTTATATAATACATGGTTGAGTATGAATTTTTCTTTTTATAAATTTATTCAAATTTATTCGCATTCTAGTTTTGGAACAAGAACAGCACTTTATGAGTGTGAAAACGAGTGTGCATAGGTCACGCGAATTTCGGAAGCTCATGACGAAGATTTTCAAAGCGTAAACGCGTCAAAAAAAAAAATAATTTATTCGTCGTAATTCGATTGTAAGTCGATTATTCATGCTCTCGAAGAATCCTTTCGGATGCACGACGACGCTGCGCGTAGAGATGTGTTAAAACGGCGATGCGAGTAAGACTAAAAAAAAAAGCATGATAATATCCTTAAAGATGTAAGACGTGAAAGAAACAGAATAAGAACATTATTTGCGACTATTATTTTTCTATGGCTCGTACGGAGTCCCCAAACTCATACAGATATTATATACATACACACATAAACACATACGTACGCAACTTGAGATTTACATAACTGATAAGCGAAAAACCTCCAATAGGCTATCAGAGGGAAATGCAGAGTGAAGTAAAAGGAAGCATAGGACTATAAAGTGAAGTAAGCGAGTAGAAAAAGAAAACAGATGTGGTAAGTAAATTTAACTTTTAAGTTTCATGCCCCGAGCATGTGTGAAGAAATTCAATAATGTAACGCGAGAATGGATTTTTGTTTTGTACAGCGGATATATTGTGATTTCCGATGCTGAATAATACTGAAATGATGAAATAACACGTCGTCGTGTCATTTCCGATCTCCTACACACTATACTTTTTCCAACGAATGAGACAAAAATAATTAAAGAAAAACCCGGCTTTCTTGTTTCTTCACGAAGCTGTAACGTCGTAAACCGTAAGGCGACCGCGCGCGGATCGCCCTCCCCCAGCGTCTCTCTCTCCGACAAATGCGCAAAAAAAAAATGCGGGAGATAACAGTTTACGAATTTAAATGCTAGATTACGTGAATTTTAAAGAGCGACTTGAGATACGACGAGAGATGCGTGTTGTGCAGTTTTCGGAAAAAAAAGGAGATGTACTCGGATGTAAATAAAATTATATAACTTTAGGACTCGAGCATATGTTGTTGATAAGACTACCGTGCGTCTGGCGATACTATATAAAGTGTGCTGCGCATTACATGCGGTGTGATTAGAATGTATGCAAAAGGAAAAAAAAAGAAAGAGAAGAAAAAACCCAGCGTCTTCCATGCGCTATATCCAGTGTTTTAAATGCTTGATAAGCGAACACACAGTAAACTAGAATGATTTATTATACACGCGATAATCGCACCCTCCGTAGAAGATTAACGGGCCCCGGTTAGTTCGTAACCCGAACCGACCGGAGCAGTAATTACGTTCTCTTATTTTTTTGCACGCGGACTTCTCATGTCCGATGTTTTTAAATGCCTCGCGGAAGTAATCGTCACGTACATTACTAACACATTAAGAAACACGTTAAGCAGTATCAATGTAATCGAAATTCGCCACAGACGTTTATAACGAATATAATTGTAGTTTGCAGCATACAATGAGTTTAATCCCGAAAGAAGTTCTGTACACGAATTTTTAAGGTCTTATTTCCAAAACTAGCGTTATTCTTTTTTAAAGCATTTTTATTATAAAATCTTTTTATCACAGGCATCTTCGTACAATCTGGCGTTATTAATAATAAAGAAATAAAAGTCAAGTTGACCATGTATACGTGTGTTTAAGGAAATTTATGGCTCATTACGAAAAAAAAAAAACGTGAACCAGCAAATACAATCGAGGATGACCGAGGAAGAGAAGGATATGCGTGAAACTTTATAACATAAAATTATCTACGGAGAAATCTCGGGGACACACAGTGTTTTCCGTGAAATATTTGTTTTAACTGCATCTCGTCCGCATCTGCACTTCCGGTTACACTGATCTACGTGTGAAGTATCTGTATCGCGGAATTGTCTCCGGACGACATTCGCCACGTGCGGATTGAAGAAGATTTTTCGGCCCTAAGTAGAGCGAGAGATCACGGTCATGCGCTTGCCGGTTATCAGGCGCAGCTCATCAGACCTGTCCTCGTACTGTCGCAGACTTCTCTTATCGCGCGACCTCTCGTCACGACCTTAGTGTCGACGTGCGAGAAATTGTTCTTGTAGTGACGGCGCAGAGTACGCGGATTCGGCACATAGACCTCGTAAGGCGCTCTGCCGCTCTCTATAACCCAAATACTGCCGGACTCGCCGATCCTCAGGATCGTCATTAGGCCCTGCGCGACTACGTAAGGCCTGCAAAAACAAGATTAAGTTACGACGAGCCGTTGAGAGATTTATCTCCTTGCTGAGGCAAGGCGTTGGCGATTATACGTATCGCGTTATAAGCATCGAAGGAGATTTAATGTCAGGATCGGATCTACTGCATGAATCTTACAGCTGGCATTTTAACTTTTCGTAGGGAGTTCGCGTTTTATTTCAGAAATGAATTTATAAATAATTAATTTGCAATTAATATATATATATATATTTGATGTGAAATTTATTATGAAATTTATTATTTGTTGGAGGAGTGAAAGACTTTTGTAATTGTGTCATATATTAATACTACGTAATCCAGCGCTTATCTGATTTATCTTGTCTTGTCAAACGTTTGATATGACATAAAGACAATTTTAATGGTGACTTACGTTTGTATCGAGAACTGTTCAAGATTCTTGACGAAATCTGCCTTCATGACTCTGGAAAGAAGTTTATTGGGGCTATCTACTGTCAGGGCGGTTTCTGTTAGTCCTGGACACAAAGTTATCACAGTAACGCCGGTCTTCTCATAGTGATAAGGATCCTGTTGGAGAGTGAACGTGAGTATATATGAAAATAATCCGTGGATAATGAAAATTAAAAAGCAGTACTTTATAATCCTAATTTTATTCTACAAGATAACGATCTTATAGAATATTGGGAAATTATTTGTAAACTTATACTTTTAGGATGATTGCTTGAATAACGAATTAATTTAACTGCGTTTTAATTTCTGTAAAATTACCGATAGAGATTCCGATAAACCGATGATGGCATGTTTCGTGGCAGTGTATACCGGAAGTTGGGCTGTATTTCGAATATCCACGTGCTGGCTCACGTTCACCAATATACCACCGCGACCGCCCATATCTCTGCTCATGTATTGCACAGCCAGCATCGCGGTGCTAACCATGCCTCCCTAAAATCAAGACACCACATTAGAATCTACTCCTAATTTTTATTATTATATTTATCATTAATCAATAATATTTATTTTTCAATCTTTCTATTCTTATGTACCAGTTTGGTAAAATCATTTCATGACGACACGAAATTATTTGAAATTGAGAAATTACATAAATTATATTTGAGATTTAAAAAAAAAATATTGCAAGAATTTTAGGAGAGAAAACATATTGCAGAATACAGAAATTACGAAATTAGAAAATCGTCGGTAAAATAATTAAGTTATTAATAAATCAATAAACTATTGTTAATAATACTCACGATGTTCACCGCGATTTCCTTCTCCCATCTTCGCTCGTCTAAAACTCCAGCGTTGTTTATCACGATGTCAATGTTTCCTAATAGCGATAATGCTTCTTCGAAAGCTTCTATAAATTGGTACAGACAAAAATAAGATACTCTGAAAGCGATACTCGGACAAGTTCAATGATTATAATTCTTGAGCAAACATCTAAGTGATTTGAAAATCTTGTTTCATATTTACCAGTCAGTTGCTTGTGATTAGATACGTCGGCGTGTATGAAGTGTACCTTCTTCTCGCCGTAAGATTTCTCGATGCCGAGCTCAATTCGTTTGCCGGTTTCAGCGTCGATATCCAATATAATTATTTTCTGTAACAAATACGTGTGAAATAAAATTTAATTTAAATATTAATGATAATATAATAGTGCCGAGACCAATATCAATACTTTGTAAATATTATAAAACAATCAACGCCACTTTGTAGATTTGAAGAAGAAAAACAATATTTTATATTTAACAGAAGAGAGACGTTTTAATTTGCAAAATAATATTAATGTAATTAGAAAAGGTAGTATTTTTTTTAAAAGAGTGCATTTTCTTGATTAAATGTTATATAAATTTCAATAAAAGTTTTTTTATATAATTATGCATTTACATAAAGTTCGAGTCTTATTTAAGTAATAGACTTTTTGTGAGTGTATATTGTTTATAGATTTATAGAAAATTATTTATATATGTAATGCTGATGTAGAATTCTTGAAAATTTTTCAAACTTTTATATTGTAAATTAATTATTATCTTAATTATTAAACATACCTTTGCTCCGTGCTTCAAGAAATGATTAAGAAAAGCGTTGCCCAATCCTGCCGCGCCGCCAGTTATTAGAACATTTTTCCTAGAAACAATGCAATTGATCGCTTCTATTTCCTTCGCTCTCTCGGACGCTGAAGAACGACGACGAAGGATTCTCAAACTTGGTTCTACATAAAATTACACATAAAATTTGCTTAATAAAATAAAAAAGAAATTCACTTTATTAGGAAAAACTAGTGTAGTTTAATAAGACATTACAATTATAACAACACCTTACAATAATAATATACATTAATAATATAATATAAAAATAATTGTTTCGGTCCGGCAATTTATTAGTTGTTTTGCTTTACTTTGTAAGTGTACTTACGTAATATTTTTATCTTAGAAAATTAAATTATAAAATTATAAAAATGTTATGTATAAAAAGTTATTAATATAATTCATAAAAATAAAATAATCGAAAGATATTTTTTACGTTTTTCAAAGCACATTTAGATACGTATTTTCTGATGAAAGAATCAGACCTACCTATTTTAGTCTCCATGAATGAAACTGCTTTGGATATTCGAGAAATGGACACAGTCAATTTCCGGCGCTTTCAAGTTCGGGGATGAAGTCGAGGAATCGGGAACTCGTGCTAGTAATACGTACGTTTCAACTGAACTTCGAGACGGTTCGAATGGTATTTATATACGATAAGCAGCGATGTGGGATTCTGCGATATTGCGACTCCAGTTCCCGTCGTGGCGGGGACGTCTCAGAGGGCGAAAGGTGGACTCCGGGCTGCTGATTACATAGACAGTAGATGTATAGATCGAATAATTATGATAAAAAAGGAATTTTCGAACTTTCTCATTAAAACTTGAGATCGTAAACAGCATTAATTGGGAGTTTAAAGATCAACTGTCGTATTTTGTACATATATCAGATCGATTAAAAGGATACTGGAGATTAAAGGAATACTGTTATAGATTCGTTAAATTGATAGTTCAATTTTTCTTACCAAGATTTTTTGATTTGCAAAAAATATATCAGATATGTAATTACGTATATAATACAAAAAATATATAGGTCATTTATTGTATAAATAATTTCTTAAGGGATTTATACTAGTATACCACTGTAAAACTCCAAGTTTTTAGTTTGGAGCGAGACAGATGTCAAAATTGAATTCGGTAACAGCAATATAACAAGGAACAACAATGCAGAAGAGCGTTGTTAAATAAACGGTTTATTTAACAAGGTTTGTTACATTTGATAATAATTTTTGCGATTTTCCAATCTATCGTGATCTTCTATTTTTTTTATTGTCTCTCTTATCTCCCCTCTCGCTAGACTATAACCAGTCACGTCTCGTCGTTCTCTTTTCTCTCAATGTTCCCGATAGCGCTTTCCCTAATTAACCCCTTCCGCAGAGGCTAATTAATCGCGTAGTGGCAATGTGTTTTCTGATACTGGACATACTGGACATAGACCGAGAGGAATTCCTTGAAGCGATCGCGCGCTTTTCCTTTTAGTTGAAGATAATGATAGTTTATAGTATCGCAGCGAATAGTAGACTAAGCAAGAGTAGACCTAATTAAAGTAGATCTTAACTAATTCCTAATTTTAACAATGTTATTGTTTTTTACACATGCATTACTATGTATTATTTATTTCATTAATATAACAAATTAAAGGATATAGGCTCACAAAAGATTAAAACTAAAAAATAAATACAAAGTTTAAGATAAATTACTACGTTTCTTACAATATTCAAAAACAAACATATGACATAACTGATCGCAATCGCAAACATTTCGACCTACAAGACAGTCATCTTCAGTGTTGTAGTTTAAATCAATAATTCTACTGCTATATTATCTCTGGTTAAAGTTTGTCAGTTCTGGTTCGCAGATAAAAGTAATCATTTTGTGATTGTCAATATGTATAAAATTCAATGTCCGTAAAAAACCTTGAGTAATAAGTCTCGGGATGTAACATTTCCATATGTCAAGTGTGATATATTCTAATAAGAATTAATAAAAATATATATTTGAAGAAACCGAGAAACTCTCTCTAAAACTATGAAAATTGTCGAGTTGTAAAGATGATCAATTAAAAGAAATAGTCAGATTTTAAAAAATTGTTTGTGCCGCGAGCAAGTAATAAAAATTTATTGCAACGCGCAACCCAGCAAAAATTCGCATCTTTTTAGAATTTCCTGCGAAAATATTTGTTTCGCATATTTGATCTCACCCCGTCGTGCCATTCCGTTAATAGAAATTTATGATAGTCACGGGGGACAGAGCTGGCTGGTAACTCGTTTTTCGCAGCATCATGCAACGGGAAAGAATATTTTCGCCCTTTTACGCGATATAGTGCTGCAGTCTATGTGATGTATATCTTCATGTTACTTTCAAATTAATTTTTAATACAATTTTGTCTTGACTGCTTTCGTTCATTTTCGTCGCGCCTTTTATATCGTAATTTCTCCGTTCTTTTCGAGGGTATACACGCGTTGCGTTCAATTTAAATGCAGAAAACATAATAAAATGCAAAAAAAAAGAAATAGATTTATCACAAACGATTGCGTCCGTGTGTGCTTGTACAGCCTTGGCTATAAGTATAAAATCACCACAAATTGACGTAAATGTTCTATATTTAATAATAAATTAAATAACAAAAAAATAAATTAATAAACAATTTTATTAAGAAATGATATTTATTTTTGTAAGAATTTTAATATTTTGTTAGTCCTCCTTTGGCTTTTATTGCTGCCTCTTCCAAGAAAATGTATAAATAAATTCAGAATATACTTTATTACTTATAGTCAAGGTTGTAGATATTATCTTTGCAAATTGATACGGACGGAAATGCATATTCGGCTAAAAATTTACAGTACACTCACGGCATTTGACGTAAGTGGCATTGGTGTATAAATGTGTGCACTATTTACAAAATAATGATTTATAGCAGGTCAAACTCAAGGCAAGAAACTACGTATGGTTCCGGGTATCCGGCGATCATTGGATGATATAACTTTTGTTCGAATCTGGCCGCTCGCGTAATTGTAGCTGCAACAAACATAACGAACAACGCGATAAATTGTTATCGATGGCCTTATCGTCGACAGTCAACCCTAATCAAATGACCTCTCCGTGGCTTCATCATCGTTATATGGGAGGTTACCAATTCTTTCTTTCGAATTCACGACGACAGAAGTTTACAAAAATCACTGAAATAATTGCCGATAAATGTCAGACCTACCGATGACTGAGGATAACAAAAAAAAAGGTCTAATCTTAATATTATTACAGCTCTATTTCATCATTGTTATACTTTTATGTTTCTAAACATTAAGTTTTATAAATTTTATATTATGTAACGTATGTAAATATTCCAAGATGTTTTCTTCATCGTAATTCCTTGGCCAATCTGTTAAATATAAATGCATTATCAATCTAAAAATGACGAAAGCAGACAACACGAGGGAAGAAGAGGCTGACGATCGCTGCAGCACATCTCCGCGGTTATTTGCAAATTACGCGGGGCGCTTTATCGTCAATCGCTCGTGGCGTCGGCGAACTTTAGAAATAACGCACTCGATGCAGTCGTGTGGCACAAAACGGTGATAAGAACTTGACGTGCGCACAGCTCGTGCTCGCTGCATCTTATCAATAGAAAAAGCGCACTTAACGTCCGGTCGGCGTCGCGCCGGCGATAAATCAGCTCGAGAATTCGCGCGTTGTCGACTCCCCGAGCCGATACCATAACCGGTACGAATTGGTTCCGATCGAACTTTACTCCGAATCGAGAAGAAAAGTAATTTCTCGTGCGGTTTTTACTTATATATATGTTATCGTGTAAGGCTGCACGACGTAAAAACGCGAGATTCGCGCCTCTGTCTGATTCGGAGATGCAGTGGTGCATAAACACGCGTGTCTGCAAGTGATTACAGTCTCCACCAAACAGTTGATAATCGGTCCCGACTGATTTGTGGGATAGTTTTTACTGATATTGTTGTTAAATATGATTTCCTTATTTTACATGCAATTTTACGCGGTTTTCGCGGTCTGAAGAAGTCTAATATAAATTAATTATTTTTTTAAATATTTATATTAATATGTATATAATATTAATATACATTATATTTGATATTTTATTTATAACATTATTACAAATGTATAATTGAAAGTCAATAGGAATTATTTATGAGCTTTCAGGATTTGTAACATCTTAAAATAGTGCGACGCGCTCATAACGTAAAATTACAATTAAACTGAGATTACATTATTAGCAATTATCGTTTTTAAAGCGGCATGATGCTCGAGATGAGCACGAGATTATACTTATTAGTTCATTTATATGTTTAGTTTTTATGATTACATAACAATTTTAATTTTACGATTTTATTGGATACAAAAGAAAATAAACTAAAAAAAATTTAATTGAAGAGTTTTATGAAAAAATTTATCACATTTTATTTAAGGTAAAAAGTTATTTTGAAATCTCTAGTTATTCCAAGAATAAAATATTCAGTTACACATATAACATTGATTTAATCAATAGCTTAGATTTATTATTGCACAATTTACTTACGACATTAACGTAAACTATATTTATTATAAAAATATTGTATGCATGCATTTAATTTTAAAAAGAAGGTGATAAATGTTTAATAGTAAAAATACTATTTTTTACAAAACAAAAATCTATTAACGGTTTATTACAAATTTCACATCATAATTATAATTTCTTAATTAACAACAGGTGGTTTAACAAAATATTTTTCTAAACAAAAAAGCAATTTGACTCCATTTTGTTTGTTGCTCAATGAATACAGAATATTCAATCTGCGATCAATTTCATATTAGTGACTTATCCTCTGCGTCGATTTCTGTCTTCTGCGGCAAAGTGTCGGGAAGTTGCACCTCATAAACCGGTTTTCCATCCTCGCTAATCCACACGCTGCCATTCTGCGCGCATCGAATTACGTATATCAATCCATGAGCGACGCTTTCCACCCTGGCGACATATTTCATTATTGTATTTTAAGTAAGTTTCGAGAATACGCCAATTATGGGCTAGCAGCAAGTCTCACCTTTGAGGCTGATAATTCTGCAAAATATCAGCGGTCGAAATACCCTGTGGTAAATCATCTATGGCTGATGTATCGACCAAACCGGGACACAAAACAATTACTTTTACATTAGTCCTCTCGTAGTGATAAGGTTGCTGTAAAAAAAAATATCTGATTACGACAGTCTATCTTCTGCATCTTTTTTATATAAAATTTAAAATGTTATATCCTAGACAACATGAAGTCCAAAATCGGGACATAAAATGTCTTTAATTGTAAAACAACTTTTAGACGCCTTCAGACATTTCTCACAAAAGGATATCTGATTACGACAGTCTATCTTCTGCATCTTTTTTATATAAAATTTAAAATGTTATATCCCAGACAACGTGAAGCCCAAAATCGGGACATAAAACGTCTTTAATTGTATGACGTTTTTAGACGCTCCTTCAGACATTTCTCACAAAGATGTTTTTAAGACATTAAGATGTCTCATGTCCCGATTTTGGACTTTATGTTGTCTGGAATGCGTTTAATGAATATTTTTTAGATAAAATTATCATTAAAATTTACATTTGAGAAGAAAAGTAATTATTATTTAATTACATTCTTAAAATTTTATCTTCGAAAAATTTATCCTTTTAAAACTGGATAATATTTCTTTGTGTCATTATAATTATCATAAATTCTATTGTATTTTTCAACGTAATACTTACTGCAAAGGAACGGCTGAAACTAACTACGGCGTGCTTCGTAGCAGAATATACCGGAAGCTGCGAAACGGCTCGTAATCCAGCAATAGACGAAATATTGACGATGACACCACCCTTTCCTCCTGAGTCCTTTCGCATTTGTTGAATCCCCAAAAGAGTTCCACGAATCACAGCTGTCTACAATAATAAAATTAATACTTCACATATTAAGATTTGCTTTGTACAGTGTTAGCGTTTTCGCATCTTAATTGTTTGTAATATTCCACGGTCGATTCTGATATTTAATAAAATTAATAAAATTAAAAAAATTTATTTTCTCTAAAATATTACTTCCATTATTTTTAATTATATTATTTTTAATTAAGACAGCCACATTTAAGCCTACTAACTTTTCTAATAGCTTTAGATAAATTAATTCATGTAATTATGTATTTATCACAGTTTTATAATTACATATACATATAGAATAGCCTGTTACTAGAAAATATTTATGTTAAAGGAAACTGCTTTTTTGTGATCAATTTTTCATTCAAATTAATATAACAACTCGAAGTTAAAACAAAAAGTTGAAAATAAAACTTACCACATTAACATCGATGGCTTTGGAAAAGTCAGTTTCATTTATTACACCTGCATTGTTTATAAAGATGTCCACTCCGCCGAGAATATTAATCGCCTCTTTGAACGTGGCTGCAATAATTAATATTTTCAGTTTTGAACAAATATTCCTTGAATGCGCAAATTAAATTAATTTTTACAGACAGTTCACCCAAGTAATATTCGAGTTTGCTTATTAATGTAAATATTAATGAAGTAACATGATAAAAAATAACATGAAAATAACATGAATATAGACTTGATATATGTATTTACCATCAAATTCGGAATTATTTGTTACGTCACAATGAAGAAATACAGCTCGTTTACGCCCAAATTCGTTGTTTAAACTTTCTACAGCTTGTTCTCCAAGGTTTTGTCGTATATCAATCATAGCTATCATCTAGAAGAAACATTTATGTTCCTATTACTTGTGTATAAAGGAATTTAAAGTTTACAAATATTTCAGAACTATTACGCCAGATGATAGAATCAGATCAGCGATAGAAGAATTTTCTTTCAAATGGTTTACAAATGGCAATTTTATTCTTGCATAACGTTATCAATATTTTCAAATGATAAATATCTATTATTTTTAGCTGAATTACATATAAATGCGCTAGCAATGAAATATTCTGCATTTCAAATTTAGTTTAAAGCTATCGGCTGATAATAACAATTCGTTAATTAACGCAAAAAGTTTCCGACGTGATTTGACACATAATTATTCGTGTTTAATATATATTTTCTGATCAATATTTTTATTATATACATAAGATTAGCATTAATTTATTTATATTAGATTATTAAAATATGACATTATAGTGTAACAATCAAATGTATAATAAACAAGCAAATATATAATAAACAATTAAGGAAGCAAGCTTTTATCAAACGATCTTCTCTTATTTACAACTAAGCAGAGATAAAAATTAAGCGATAATAAAATATTGGTATATAAACATTTTGTTAATCTTTAGTGATTGCAGATTATTACTAACAAAAGGAATAAAATAATGGAGCATATGGAATCATCGTGATAAGTTTAATGAACATTTTTTAAAGAGTACTATATAATAAAATGTTCCTATTATATAATAATTGCTACTGATATATTTATATATGTGAATATTGTATACAGTATTATTATTATTATTAAATATTATTATTATTATTATTACATACCAAAGCGCCATTTCGCAGAAGCTCCCTGCTAAATGCCAAACCCACATTACTTGCTGCTCCAATTATTATAACTCGTTTATCTTTGATCTGCATATCTCCTCCAATTTTACCAGCAATCGAGCTCTCTTCCGTATATATTTCTTCACTTATAAAAATATTCCTCGTTCTAAGGTACTTCAATACACGAATTTCTGTTTGCGAATTTTATATTTCTGCAATGGAACTGCGCGAGATCCAGGAATCGAGATGTCTCTTTATCGATACGACCACCATCTGCGACACGATCGTCGGCCCGTTCGAGAGCCTCCTTGAACCGATATGGAAGACTTCACTGTTTTCGTATGGTGATCTTCGACCTCACGATCTGCGTGACGTTCAATTCATCAGAGTCTTTCCTCGCGCGAGATTCGTTATAATCCATAAAGACGGCGCCGTGAATGTCTTCATCTCCCAATTGTGTAGTTTTTGACTTCAGTAGCATTGAAGAAAATTCGCAACATTTCTCAGTGAAGTGAAACCGGAGAAGTTAAATTTTATATGAATTTATATTAAAAAAAAATAAAGAAAACTTGAGAGTCAAAACTTGATCAAGAAGTTTTAGACGAGATACTGTGCATTCTCACATGCATCTGTATTAATTTTTAACCGTCGTGTGATCTATTTCTTACGAAAATAAGCAAGCATTCATAATTAAACGAGTGCTAAATGGCATATCGCTATCGAGAAAACGATTGCACACAAAAATAAACTCCACATTAAAATTACAATGATGTGATTAATCAACGACTGTAATCTAGAAAGGCTATCTAATGCAGCGCTTGAGTTTATTAACAAGAGAACCTCGCCAACTCGGGAATTCTGATCTCAATGCAACATAAATGAACAGTAAATGTATGAATGTGGAAATTTTTAATTGAGTTTTGAGTAACGATGAAATCATACATTATAATATCGTAGAGCGATATTCGACTTTCCTCGATATGTTAAAAACTATTTTTAAATTGATAAAAATAGCTGTATATTAAAATCGTTTTGGCATCAATTAAAAATTTCCAAATATATTTATATCTCTCACGTGTATGCAAAGTTATATTAAAATCAGAATTTTCAGTTTGATGATATATTAATCCGTTGTTAAATTTTGGTAAATCCATACTTTAATAAAAAATGTTTATATGTTAATATATTATTTTATAAATTGCATGTAAAATCTAAAATAAAAAAAAGACAATGCAAAATACAAGATTTTAATATTTAATAGGTAACTATTTAATCGGTATATCTCAATGCACACATATTTGATAATTTATGTACTGCACATGTAAAATTTGAAATAAAAAGAACTGCTATTTAAGGCTGTGTCTGTTTTAAGTTAGATGTATATCCAAATATAGTTTGCGTAACTGAAATGACAAACATAAATTCAAATTATTGAATCAACTTTTATTTTGCAAGTGTCTCACATCCCCTGCTAGATATAATTATTACATTATTAATTATACGCATTTATAATTTTATGTGACATTTTTCTACCTCACAGAATAAAACAGTTTTACAATTACTATTAGACAGAATGTCTCTATAGTATCTCTATATATAGTATAGAATCTATATATAGTATAGAATCTATATATAGTATAGAATCTGTCAGTATCTGTCTGAATACTCTGAATCTTTTATCGTAAAGATATGTCTCCGCTGAAGTCTATATCGTTTAATGGGCAAAGCCGATTGTCTTCAATGAATTCATTAATAAAATACATACATATTTTGTACTTTTAATTATATCTAAAACGAATTAATACAACAACGTAATAATCATAAAATCTATTTACATAATTAAAAATTAAACGAGAGAACAGAAATGTATTTTTCTCTCTTCGAGATTGAGCAAATTTTACGCTGTACGATCCAGTCCTTCAAGAAGAGGAGCTTTGAATTTTTGCTTTCGAGGCGCGTTTGCTTTTTCGGCGACGTCAAATCTAAAAATAAGATAAGGGCCATAACGGGGACCGACGGCGACTGGATAGGAAGGCCGCTGTGGATTGTCTGTCGAGGGATTTTCGGGCGCACGCATTCACGCACGTGCGTGAAGGATACGCACCGGCCGGCGCGGCGTCGCGCACGCCCGCATGGCATGTAAACGCGCCAATCAATATCGGGCTATACCGGGTGGGCACCCCCGACCGTCGCGGCCGTCAGTCAGCCAGTACACCATCAACCACCAACCACACCTTCCCGGGATTGCCTTGCCGCCCGTCAATCGCGCCCTTTCGACGAGGGAAGGACGCGACGTCTGTCTGGACCGCTGCATCCAAGCACCGCAAGCTATATAGAGCCGGCTTATCAGCTTCGTTACACCCCGCCTGTTGCGAAACGTCAGTAGGGTGGAGAGATCGTAAAGGTACGGAGAACGGTAACGGAACGGAGTCAGTGAACTTAAGGTCTGTTCTTTGTGGCTGAACTTGCGTACATTAATTGTACTTAAAATGATATAAATATATTGGAAGTTAAACGAGAAAGAAAATTTTAATGTAGTCCAGTGCAGCGACAAAGATCAGGCCTTTAATCTTGACGGAGGGAGAAAATCGGACGTCGCGTAATAGGCGGATTTTTGATGTGCCGAGCGTTTGGGGATGTATACCGTTTAGTGGTATATCGGAATTTTAATGTGATCATCAGATTGAAAAAATTCCGTAATATCCAAATGTGAATTGCATTAATACTCGCGATCGTTGATATCAGTATCTCTTTTCTCACTGGTGCAGACGTGACAGGTCGAAGAATTATGCCATGTATTTGGATGCGCGAATTATGCCCATCTCTGCCCTTGGAATATACGGGATGAATTAATTATAAAGCGGAGAGTTGCGATTAATAAGAAATAACAGACGCGTACAGAGAATTCAAAATTCAGATTCAGATCTTTGTTAAAAACATTTTCGCTTTTCTTTAAATTCTCTTAAAACAATAAAATATATCTTTAGCTATAATATCGGAATCCGAACAAATCCATAAGTGTCCACAGAAAAAAAAAGATCGCGACGTATATCGATTGACTTTTTTTTTTCTAATTCTCCTTCCAAGAAACGAAAAATATACAAATAAGCCTGCAAATTGATGAATAAACTAAAAAACTTAATAAGATATATCTGGAGTGCTAATTTGACACAATAGCAATTCTTAAATTAATGAGCATATCCAATAACCAGTTTTCTAAGAGCTGAAATATTTAGAATGCCCTTTTATAAGAAATGATGTCACCTTGATGATATATTACTTTTTTAGGAGTTATATTAGATCAATTTAAAACCTGATTTTTGTTTTCGATCTTGTTTTAAGAAATCCTTCATTTATTTCAGCTGACTAACAAAAAAACACAACAAAAATAAAAAATTAACGGATAAAAAAAGTAAAAAAACATTCGTTCTAAAATTTTTCGTCCCTAAAAATTTGCCGCTCTGGGCTATAACTCACTTAACCCCTTTGACTATATAAGTATGGACTGATAGTAATTAACTTCATAATCGTGTCGCCAAGCTGTAGACTCCACCCCAGTCAGTAATTTTCTGCGGAGAGGGGGAAGGCTCCTGTGAAATCAGCGTGTTTACGACATGTAAAGGAAAGGTGCTGAGTGTGTTTTTAATTTCATTCCGTCGATTTGATATTTTTTTCGGCTATCAATTTTCAACATAACATTTAATACATTTTGACATATTTTACATTTTTTTACTGACTAGGATGGAGCCTAAAAATTAAAGTTCGATACCTCAACCAACTTCAGCTTAATCCTTAATTAACCCTGCCATATAATTGGACATATTCATGTGATTGTATTGATAAATATTTATATCGCTATACGTTAAACTGTAAGTAAAAACGTGTTCATATTTGTGTATAATACTTATGCGAATACGTTCGTCCGAATAACTTTAAAAACCAATGACGGTTAAACTTTGCAAGACTTTGAATACGCCAAACAAGCACAGTCTTTTCCGCAATTAAGAGCGAAATCTTTTTAGTCGTCGATTCAAAAGGAAATTCTAATACGGTATTGTCAAATTCTACATGTGCAGATACGAGAGAAGATAAGAACCTAAAAGAAATGGAAATATCAGGGCGAGTTGCCCTAATAACGGGAGCCGCAGAGGGCATTGGTAAAGCATTTGCCATCGAACTGTTGAATCGTGGTGCCAAGGTATATTATAATTTATATAAGAAAATATATTTATTCAATAGTTTCTAAATCTATTTTAAAATGTTTGTATTAGAATAGCCCCTATTATCTTATTTATACAATATATCACATTTTATGTATTTCTGACTTCTTTCCATTTCTGACTTTATAAAATTTTTATTTAATTTTTTAGTGATTTTTTAATAATATCGATAAAATTCTTACGTAAATTTAAATTAATTTCTCAATATGAGAGAAATGATGTTTTTCAAACAATTCATATAATATACAACTTACATAAAATTTATATAAAATAACATTTTATTACATGTATGTAGGTGACCATATGTGATATGAACGTCGAAGAAGGACAAAAACTGCAGAAAAAATTAGCCGCAGAACACGGCAAAGATCGCGTAATTTTCTTGCCATGCGACGTCACAGATTATCCGCAACTCGAAGGTATATTACTATAACTCGCGGCAGTCGTTCCTCAGAGAGAAATGACTCGTCGAATTAATGTCGAATCGACATCAAATCGATCTCGGTACAATGATTTCGACATTAATTCGACTACGATTTGATGTCAAATTGATGTCGTTTCTCACTGGGTCGCGATCTATAAATCTATCGTCGATTTATTTCTTTATAAAATGACTACTCAGACAACACGGTGTAGACAAAATTTAACAGACATCTTAGAGATATCTTATGTCCCAACTTCGTGTTCGTCTGGGTAACTCATCTCCTACATAAGTGCACATGCATACGATTTTCATTTTAATTAATGTAATTGTATTCAACATACGATACAATTCGATCTGCAGGTGCGTTTCGGACAGCGGCCACGGAATTCGGCCGTAATGTTGATATCGTTATCAACAACGCTGGTATCATGAATGACCGGTTTTGGGAGCTTCAAGTAGACGTTAATCTCGTAAGCAAATATCCGATTCCTTGCAATGTTTCATTTCAATACCATGTTCATAAAAAGTGCGTTAAAATATTTACGATGCTTATAAAAATTTTTTGTTTTCTTTTTCACTTTTGATATCTTATTTATTTCCCATTAATTGAAGCGATCTTATATAGTAATTCTATGTACCTTTGTGTTTGTGCTTTATTAAATTCAAAATGTTCCGTAAAGTAATATTTTTTTATATTTATGACGTGTGTGTATGTAAAAATTGATATCTCTGCAAATATAATTATAGAACGGGGTAATACGCGGTACTATGCTTGCTCAACGATTACTGGGCATCGATAGGGGTGGCCAGGGTGGAGTCGTTGTTAATATTGGCAGCATCGCCAGCATTAACCCTTACGTCAGCGTACCAATTTATTCCGCGACGAAAGCGGCTATTGTCAGCTTCACTAGAGCTTATGGGGTAAGAAGTCTCTTTATATCTCTTGATTTTACAATACAAAACAATATTATAACTATTGTCTAGAAATGACAGTAATATCAGTTTTTTGATTGTTTTTACTATTTGCAGAAATTGAATAAGAAATTCAAAAGAATTTTCATTTAAAGATTTAAAAAATACAAATTGATTTAACCGATTTTTTTTGTTAAATACAAATTAAATACAAAGGAAATAAAATGTACTAATTTTCTTCTCAATTTTTGAAAAGGATAAATATCATGTTGACTTGACGGGCATTAAGGTGATGGCACTCTGTCCGGGTCTCACGAACACCAAGATGATATGTGACGTCAATAAAAAGTTTTCTTTGAGTCGATTCGAGGAAGCCTGGAAAAAAGATACGAAGTCCTCGGTTCCTCAAAGGTATGATTTCATATATAATTTCTTTCTCGATCTATCCATGAATAAATAACTCATAATTAGAGAACTATTTCTTAATTATATAAATAATAAGTAATGGTTATTTCTTAGCGTCATTTCAAAGTATTAGTTTCAATAAACAATTTAGGAAAAAATATAATTATAGCACAAAGAAAGAATTTATTTTTACAACGATGTTACATATATAAAATAAAACCAGCACGTAGCAATTACTATTTGTAAAAAAAGACACTCGACATTGCAGGCCGGAGGACGTGGCGAAGGCATTGGTGCACGTGATTACTAAGGGCAATAGCGGAAGCGTGTGGACGGTGGAGAAGGGCGAGCCGCCGTACGAGATCAGCTTTTAAGTGGATCCCGCGTGCGCGCTCTTGCAACGATTCTTCCTCGCTTCGCTGCAAATATCTTATGCCGTATCGCACAATTAACTGTAATTTGTATCGAGATATATATATATCCCGTCGCGCGCCGTCGAAAAGGCGGAAACACGCGAGCGTAACATAATTATTCGTACCTCCGTACCAAATAACACATTCGCGGAAGATCAATGCGTTTTTCACTTCCTCGCCTTTCAACGACAGCAAAATATGCGTCAGTCGAGGTCATTTAATTCATCACACATTTTTTATAGAGAACGATCCTTTTGATACGTTTTTTTATACTTGGCGGTTTTTATACCTGCGAAATTTAACAGAGAAACGCGACGAGTCCTCGGAATTACGCGAGATAGATAGTCGCGAGATATTTGAAAAGAGAGGAGCAAGAGGATCCGCATGGGTCGACCGACGCGGGACACGTGTCGCGACCTTCCCGTGGAAAAACATTTATTGCACAAAAAAAAAAAGGAAAACAATGTAAAAACAATGGCTTTCGCTTCCGTCCCGCACCCGCGTTGCAAGTTCACGGTCGATTTTCGCACCAGGCCTCAGTTACGCTCGTCGATCGAGAAATTCTCGAGCCCGAGGAGGAATCTCCCGAGGAATTTGTTGGGCGCGTGTTGTCGACGCCTGATGTGCGCATCGCACCGATGAAAATGATTGCAACGACATTTCGATCCTGCCGCACTTTGTAACCGTCGCGCGATTTACTCGTTTTTTCTAACGCACACGTCGTAAATATCGACGATTCTCCTTTAACGCCATTCCGTTTAATGACATTATATGCTGCATGCAATGTAATCGCGTTTCAAACAGGTCGAGTATAATAGAGACACACTTTGCATTTGTTGCTTGTATGATGAAGACAGAGGAAGAGCGTATAAGAGAAAGAATGAAAGAAATAAGCATTTTCGCGCTGTCGAAGCGTACAAAAAAAAGGGAGAAAGATTATGTTTCTTATAATGACTAATGCAAATAACTCTGGATCCACGAAAACTTCCCCTTCACGAACGTGTCGGAAATCTATTAAAATTACATAAAAAGGAACAAAAAAATATTACAATATACATATTACATTACAAATTAAACAAGACAGAATATATACAATTGAACAAAAAAAGTGGAATAATAAGTTAAATAAAAGTGTAAACTACGACCAGAGATTTTTATATTAAATATACATTTGAGAATTTAAATATATAATTTAAAAATATTATCAAAAAAATATTAGAGAATAAACGACTGATAAAATTATATAGTTTTATAAAATTATTGTTTGAATAAATTAAGTTAATCGTTAAAGAGGATAGGAAATCTATAAAATTTTAGAAACTTCATATAAAACCTGAGAATTGACTTTGTGCCAACTTCCACTTCGAAGTTCGATAATATATGATGTTTCGAGAGTTATCTGCATCAGTTGTCTATTAACTGCGAATGCAATTAAACCGAAATCCGTCGGACATTACTCCACAAATGAAACTATATATCTAATCGTGTCTGTAATTTTTCTACAGTATTTTGAGGGAGACAAGAGTATTTAGAGATGGTAGTAGCGAGAGGTAGAGTTAGAATCTATAACCTAAGTGCAAGCACACGACACTCGACGCGATCACATTTTTTCGATATTAGGTATTAGGAATCACGAGACAATTTATTTGATGTGTAATCGCATCGAATTGCAAAGCTCGGTTCGATATATGTCGGTCAGATGTCTAGCTAGCTGAGTTTTGTTTTGATATCGCCCGTTCGAGTTCGATCCTTTATTATAGCTTTCCAGCGATGAAACGATCAGTGGCGATTTCGTTTTTGTTATGCGTTAATATGTATGTTGCTAATCTTGCTAATAAAAAATGCATTGCCTTTTAATAAAATCAACGGACCAGTGATTTATCTCTCTTTCTCTTTCTCTCTCACTCAGGTGTACCTTAATAATTTTATATCTTTAATAATACAAAACTTAATTTTCCGATCTGTTTTCCCTTCAATTCTTTTTAAATTTCAAAAGAAATAATAATTATAATTAAGTGGAATTATATCAGAAATACATCACGATATTAATTAAAAAATTTACTACTTTAAATATACATTTATACATTTAAATATTCAATATTTCTAATATATTTCTATTAAAAAAATTTGATCCTATTTATACATATATTTCCAAGATAATAATAATCAAAAACTCACAGAGCGTTAAGAAATGGATGAATTGTTTCTCTCGCGGTTTATTTTTAGCGGTTTCGATTATATTTCACGCGTCCCTCACGTAACATTGAACACCCTTTTCCCCACATGCTTCTCTCATCTAGATGCGCAAATCCGATCTTGTTTACCTCGGGAACGAGCTCGCGTTATCCGATTTCTATGCAGCCTATCCGCATATTCGATATTTTATCATGCACGATCGACTTCTCGAATTTCAACATATACGGCTTCTCGTTAGCAATATGCGACAAATATTCATTTGCGGATCGATGCTGGACGGGATCGCTCCCAGTCAGTGTGATTTGACGTTTGCATTGTCTCTCGGAAAGTATATACCGAACGCAAGATAATTATAATGGAGATCAAAGGGAAAACCGTGCTCGTCACCGGCGGAGCCAACGGTATCGGCTATTGCACCGCTCGTGAATTACTTCGAAGTGGAGCGAAGGTAATTATAAGCGAAATCAAACGTATGTAAATAATGCGGTACACAACTTATAAATATTGCCCGTAAATTACTCTATCACATATTTTTTTATATTAATTAAAATAATAAAAATCGATTAGATTTCGATATATACATATATCGATTAGATTAGCTTTTTAGCAAGTGTAAAAATTACGCATGAAAGATGAATGATATTTCAATAAGGAGTTTACGTATATATTTTGTCTTAATAATTGCAGGCCGTTGCAATCATAGATCTACCCGATTCGAACGGTGAAAATGCTGCTACGGAATTGAAGAAGGAATTGGGCGCGAATCGTGCCATTTTCCTCGTTGGAAATGTGGCCAATTCCGAGGAACTAACGGGTATTGCATTAATCGATTGCTAAACATATCAACTCTGCAAGAGTACAAAAAAAAAACACAAAATTATAACACAATAAATAACATTATAGCAGAATCTACACGAGAGAATTTTTTTTTAATTTACCCTGCAAATCATGTTAATTGTAGGACAATATAGTATTTAGGCAAATTTTACTGTGCACTACAATAAATTTTACAGTAGTAAAATACAATAAATAATTTATTGTAGTGCACAGTAAAATTT